TAAACCATAAATAGGAAACTTGACTAGTTTACTAGCCCATCGGGTCTTCATAACATTATTGCTCATTATTACGCATGTATTCTTAGATTTCCCGTTTAATTGTGACAACCTGAAGTTAATTTAAAATTCGGATTCTGTTAGATGAGCTTATGCATGTATCTTGTGTCAAGAGACTAAGGGAATGTTTAGTTTAAAAAAAAAAAAAACTTCTAAAAAGTGCTTTCATACAAGTCTGACACGAAACTTCTCTAACATACTTATTTCATATATCGTAAAATTATTTTTAAAACTATAGTTTAATTTCTACCTAAACATCTCCTAAATTACATGTCAAGTACCTGTTATATCGTAAAATCATTTTTAAAACCATAATTTAATTTCCACCCAAACACCTCCTAAATTATATGTCAAGTTACTCAAGTACTTGTTTTGTGAAGGCCAAGCTTTTTAAAGTCCTTCTAATTAATGGCCAGAGATTAACAATGACAGCGAGGGGCTACCTCTTGCAATTACTGTTTGTGAATAGTGATACTGCGAGTGGGTGTGTCCCCAAAAAAAAAAGAAAAGAAAAGAAAAGAAAAGTCAAACATTGTTCAGAGTAGTAAAGATCTTAAAACAGTTCCTCAAGCTAACATACCTGAGATTCTCATATAGTCATATTCAACAGCACCATCATTAAGCGTTTTAGGTATGGTGATTGCTCCACCAAGAAAATAAGGATCATATAATGTTATCCCTCTTGAATAAGTTAAAAAGGATGCAATTTCCGTCCCAGGAAATCAAAATATAAACCCATATTGAGCCCTACATAGTTTTAAACTTGCTAACTACCATTAAGGGAGGAGTAAAAAAATCGTACTCACGAAGTATGATCATATGAACTGAGGATGCCATGGGATGGCTTGGACTATCCAGCCTCATCAGCTGAAGCTGTTGCAGGAAAACTCAAAAACCCAAGGACCTGCTGCCAGTAGAGCCAGTATCATCTTTTTTCGTGATGATGGATGATGAAAAGGAAGAGGACTGCACGAAGTATAAGCCAACCATGAGCAAATGGCACGGTAGATCTTGTTTCATTGGAAGATCAACATTTTAAAGCCCATCAAAAGGCTCCCTGAAATCTTCCCACTAGATGTTAATGACATAATAATATTGGATCGCAAATCACTCCGTATAAATATTCAAATATTCTTTTTTATATAGAAGTAACTAAAACTGAAACTAGGAACAACTAAACTCCCCTATTGTCTTGAAGAACTTGGCTTGGCTTCATCATCATCAAGGAATGGAAGGCCTTACTGCTCATGGACGAAGACAACACCTCACCGAGGTTCACAGGACTCTCGGCCATGGTACTCAGCAAGGGAAGACGGAATTGCGATTGAAGGAGGAGCAGAGATGGTGGAATTGAGAGGACGGAGATGGTGGATATGGAGAGGATGATGACTGGTAGTGCGGGATAGGAACGAGAGGAATGGGCACACGAAGATGAGAGGGAGATGAATATGAAAATGTGCAATCTCGAATTAGATATGGGAACCTTCAGCAAAAACGCAGCGTTCCATGTCCTCTGATCCTCCATCATCGTTTTGCTGGATTGGTCTTTTTGGTTATAGAGATCCTTAACATGTCCTCCCCTAATTAGCCTCCCCACCCTACAATCAAAGCATGGACGATCACCTGCACACACAATCAAACCATGCATTACATGTCCATAGAAAATCACACAAAGACCACATACAAAGATTAATATAATTTTTAGTCTCTCAAATTTATTCTTAATGATTCAAGTTGTTATTGAATTATAGGATCAGTATTTTAAATGAAAAGAAACTTAAGAGACTAAAACTTATGGTTTGAAACTTAAAAAACCAAAACTAAAATGAAAACAACTTAGAGACAAAAAATTGCATTAATCTAACCTAAAATTATATATGTAAATGCATAAAAATAATGAGCTCTCTCAGTCATATTTGAGTATTGGTGGATCTAATCATAAAAAGCTCTATCACCACTCTCCACTACATTTAATTTCCACAGGCGTCAGCTTGGCTCAAAAGACAAAACATAAGAAACATAAATAAAAAGAGTGGGGAAGGGGTTCACCTTCCAACATATTGATATTGGCATTTTCCTCTGGTCAAGAACCAATATCATATTGATATGATACTAAAGTATTGTTCCAATCGTAATTATAATAAATTATTTCTAATTATTTTATCAGAATTAAAAAAAACGACATAGTTTGCGTGGAAATTTTAAAGGTTGTAAATAAAGATAATTAACTTTTAAATGGTTAATATATGGAAATTCATTGATTTATTTGAGAGTATGAATATATAATATATAAAACCAGAGAAAATATATTAGAGGTTTTTGCGTGGAATACCGAAGTTTGAACCTCAAGGTGGGTGTGCGAGCTTTATGGGACCATCTTTGGTGAATGCTATACGGAAATGCCATGGGCTCCCAGGGCCTGTTATCGGCATGGGGTTACGATCAACAACCTGCACAATTTGTTGTAGCCCTCAATCATCACAGTAAGAACCCATCTATCTATTTTCTCTCCCACATCAAAATACCCTTAGCTAGTTAATACTTCATTTCCATTTGTAAGTGAAAAAAAGCTCAATTTTCACTTTGGTAAAAAGGTCACTAGTTACCATATCTCATTCAGTATAATGTTAGGAAGGAATAATTGTAAAAGAGTACTACCTCTAATGCATCATATAAAAGATTGGTTAACTTTTTCTCACACATTAAGAAATGGAGGTGTAGTCACTAAATGCGTCCTAAAATGATAAAGTTTGCCTATTTTACCCTTAAAAAAATGATAAAGTTGCCTCTAATATTATATTTTTATTATCTCACATATTTCTTCTATATTTAATAGGGACAAAAGTGAAAAAATCACATTAATTATCCTCCTAAGATCTTATATTTTGGATCACAATTTTTTTTAACCAACATCTTATATTATGGAACTGAAAAGAGTATTTGACTAATTGCAGACATTTTCTTAATACTAAAAAATTAGTTAAAATGGTGCTATGCCTAGGACTTAAAAGAGTGTGTATAATGTGGGTTAAGTGTTTACAAGATAAAGGGATGGAGGAGGTAGCTTGAATTAAAAATTTTAAAAAAAAGAGTTTAATGGAGTTGACTTACTTGGTCCATTTGTTGTTCCAATATTGGAAGAAGACTTTGACTCTTTGAGCTGCCACTGTTTTCAACATCAGCTTTGCAGATGACACGCCATCCACACTTTATTGAAACTTCCGCATCTTCAAGGGGGGCTCGAAAGACGAAGGGAACCTGATTGTACTTCCTTGATTGCAACATATCACAGACATCCTTTGTTGGATTGCATAATAAGACCCATAGGTGACAAGACTCTCTTTTCTCCCCACCCTCACAAATAGACGGTGAAATACTACCAGCCATCTTAATTATAAGACCTTGTTTATAAGCTATAAATGAGGTCTTAGTTATAAGACCTCGTTTATAATCTATAAATGAGTTCTTATAATTAAGACATGAGACACTATAGGGACCTGCAGCAAAATCATGACTCCGCCACCAAAAATGCTTCCACTCTCCTCTGGAATAAAAGTTACTTTCTAGAAGAGTGCATAATCCAATTCCCAACATTTCTTCGCAAGGAGGTATGTCTATCATCACTAGAGCTTCGCCTTTATGATCCAGATAAAGATCGATTTGATTCTCAAACCATGGTGATATTTCACTTCCAGGAATAATCAGGGAGAAACAATCAAGTGGCCCATGCATTCCCGCCTAAACCGATAAATAATCACATGTCAAATTATATCACATGATTAAACACAAAATAAATACATACAATTATATGATGATATATGACTATATGTATATACCTGGTCCATTGAAGCAAAGAGATGTAATAATTGTTCACCTTCCAATGTATCCAATGAATCACATTCTTCTACATACATGTTCCATAATCTTGGTGGAATCTGCGGCAATGACTGAAGTTCCGTGCAAGAATTCATCTCCAAAATTTCCAAATTCAAAAGATTTGATATGCAGCCAGCGGGTAGATTCTTAAACTTGTTGCCACTTAGATCTAAGCTCCACAATGATGATAAGCCCCCCAAGTCATCTGGAATGGATCCATCATCAATACCGCAGTAGCTTAAATCCAATTCTATCAGTGATTTAAGATTGAACATTAAAGCAGGCAATATTAAGCCCTTATGAATTGAATGCCTCCAAAACATGTGCTTCAACGGAAGAATCACGCTCCAAGAGTTTGACGTTGACCTTTTGCACCCACGGAATGACAATTTCTTGAGCTTTTCTAAACCACCAATAGAACAAGGTATTTCTGTTATATCAGTTTCACTTGCATCCAACTCCTCTAAGGCTTCAATTTCATACAACTTTTCTGGCAATCTAGCAAATTTTGAGCACCCAGCAATATCAAGAAGTACAAGACATTTCAAATTGTGAATGCTTTGAGGAAGGCAAACAAGATTTTTGCAACCACTGAGTTTCAGAGTTTTAAGACCAGTCAATAAGCCAAGTGACTCAGGAAGTTTGACTAAATTTGTCTCCCCAGCATCAAGTGTTTCTAGATTTTCCATATTTTCTCCAAACTCTGGGAGAAATTTTACTCGAATGCACCCACAAAGAACAAATTCTTTCAGCGCAATCATTTCCAATTTTTTTGGACAACGGACTCTAAGATTTTTGCAACCTTTCAAATTCAACGCTTGAAGCTTTTTGAGTTGTCCAATCGAAGCATGAAGGTCAACAAGTTCTTCACAACCTTCAAGTTCCAATCTTTCCAGGTTTGGAATTTCAGAAAAATCCGGAGCTTCAATCAAGTTTTTGGAAAAACGCAAGTCCAACAACTTCAAATTCTTCAAGCACTGGTCAAACAAGGAATCGCTAAGGTCAATTTTCCTTAAATTCACAAGATACTGTAAAGGTGAAGAGAAAGAAAGATGTCACATCATATAGCCTCAACAAGAATTAAAACATGGTTGCCTATACACTTACTTGCTTTCCATGCCAAAGTATCCTGACTTGGCTATTTCGCATTTCAAACCAAACAAGCTTCTCCGCGGAGAATGTCGATGGTAAGGACTTCAAAGGGAAGTTATCCCATTGAAGAAGTCTGAGTTCATTTGGTAGAGATTTAAGGCCTTGAGGAAGATACAATCTGAACTCTTCTGAACCAAAATTATGGAATATAAGAAATTTAAGCTTGCGCATTCTGGCGAAGACGTCAGGACTTAAGCACAGATCCTCAATTTTCGACATATCCAAAGCCATGCCTTTAATTGACTCAGTTCCCTACCAAGAATTAGAACATAAAAAAATAGTTAAAACAAAGCCGCGCACGGTTAAAAAGGTTAAGTCAGTCCAAACCAAAGACTACTAAGTTTGGCTCTTACCGTTTTATATTTCAATACTTCATAAGCATCATGAGAATCCCATAATCGGCTGCGTTTTCCAGGTTCTTCCCTTGATTCTTCTCGAACTAACTCCCATGCCATTTCTTGTATTAGATCATGCATTGACACCTTCTCATCAATAATAGTTAGAAGAGCTTTGTCTTCAAGAGTCTTCAATCCAATGGTTGTCGCATAATCACAAGCATCTAACAAATTTTTTATGTCATCTACATTTCTGCCCTTGAAAAAGCATGCAATATCTAGAAAAATATTTCTCTGTTGGAAATCTAATCCGTCATAACTCAATTTCAATACATTTTGAATTTTCATGTCAGGCATTCCTTTGAGTTTTTCTAATTGACTTTTCCACTCATTTTTACTTTTGCCACAAAGAAATGAACCCAAAATTTTCAGAGCCAATGGAATCCCTTTTGCATAGCCAACCACCTTCCTTGATAATAAGGCAAACTCTTCGTCAGTAACGTTATTTTTAAAGGCATTCAAATTGAAAAGTTGAAGAGCTTCACCAAAGCCCCAAGCTTTAACCTCGTATATATGATCCACTTGTTTACCAAGCACTTGTCTATCTCTGGATGTTATAATGATTCTACTGCCTGGTCCAAACCAATTATGCACTCCAGCTAAAATTTCCAGTTGATCTGAGTTACTGACGTCATCAAGAACAACAAGAACCTTTGTTCGTCTAAGCCTCTTCATATCCAAAGGAGTTCCTCTATCTGGCATACCATCTTGAGATTCTTTATCCTCTAATAATTTGGAAAGAAGTTTATTCTTCAAATTAGTGATTCCACACTTCTCTGACTCTTCTCTTACATTGGCCATGAAGCAAAACCCTTCATAATCACAGCAATGTTTTTTAAATACTGCAGCTGCAATAGTTGTCTTGCCAACTCCAGCCATGCCCCAAATTCCAATAAATTGAACATCTTTCGACTCCTCGCTCAAAAACGATTCTAGAGGCACAATTCGTTCATGAATTCCAACAAGACCTTCAAAACAGTCTATTCGGTAAATACGATCCAACTTCTTTAAAACACATTTGACAATTTTTTCAATCAGGTCAGCTTCATTCCTGAACCACAGGAGAGAAAGGTATCATATAAAACTCAAGAACCCTTGTCTGAATAATAACAATAAAACTAGACCCAAAGTGAACTTCTTTTTCCTGTCTATATTATTATTGTTGCATTGTTATTCTGTAAATAAATATGTTGGCATGCATAAATAATGACTTAGCTTGCCAGAAATCGCATTGATTCTCAGCAAATAACGTAGGGACCTTAATTTTCAAGGAAACTAAAATCATGATGTTAAGATAAAGAATCAGAAAGAAGAACGAAAGACTGATTTCAACATCTGATACATACCAATATTTACTAGAATCCCAGCCAGATAAATTAGCTGCCCGAGTGAGAGCACTCCTCCATTTTAGCACTAGCTGATTGTGATTGCCTTGCTCGTGTGTTATAAATGCTTCTCCGTAACTATCTTTCTGTTTCCGTACATTTGAAGGGTTTACCCTGTAGAAAACTGGAAGAACACGATCCTCCTGATCCTCAGAGCAATCGAAGACAATTTTGGTGAGCTCATTCAAGCACCACGTGGAAGAAGCATAGTTCTCAGAAAAAACGACCAGAAAAAGGATCGAATCATCAATGGCTTGGAGGAGTGATGGCCAAACCTCGCTTCCTTTCTCAAGTCTGTAATCGACGTAGGTGTCGATTTTGCTTCTAAGGAGAGCAGAGTGAAGATGGCTGGTGAAACTTTCGCGCGTGTCTTCGCCTCTAAAGCTGATGAAGACATCGTACTTCTTGGAAGAAAGAGAGGAAGAAGAGGAAGAAGCCATTGTTGTGATCTCTTGGTTTCGCACGAAAACAGTGTGTTAGCAGTCTTTGTGCTCTAAAGAAAAGCAGGTGGCCTCTTTGACCTTCGCAGGGTGTAATAGTGGCATGCGGGATCATGATGCTGACCGTTCACCAAAATAATTCTAAAAGAAAATATGAATCCTTTGTTGGGAAGTTTATAGTTCTTAGCCCCTGAATTCAATTTAAGGACTCCAAATGGGATAAACTTGAAGAGGGGGGGGGGGGATCAAAGTGCACTTACTGAGTTGTAATGATTCTTTCTACGTATACATCGTTTAAAATTTGCGTTTCATGTGCTTTTTCAGACGAAATTACAAATTATTTATTGATTATAAGCAATTAAACATGAAAGAAAGTTGCATATGGCCAAAAATTTCTCCACAAAAATAAAAAATATGTACATACAGTTTTAAATCACAAGCCACGAAAAAAATTACACATGATAAAAGATTTTAACATACGTATTAAAATAAGTTGTATATCTAAAACATGTTTCACACATTTTAAATTAAATTTTATTGGAAAAGTTGCACATGCTAATAAAAGATATCTTATACCACTAAATATAAATTGCATGCGTCTTAAAAGAATTAGCCATGAATACACATATAATCTTGTTATAATAAGTTTATTAGCATGTAACAAGCACAAGTCAAAAAGCATATAACCTCATGTATGCAATTTTGTTAGCATGATCTTAGAAGTAATACAATTTTGTTTCTTTTGGGCAAATATTAAGGTTTTTCTGACTTCATGAAAATGGTAATTTTTAAGATGATCTACTAAACGGCTAACAAGTTATTTTGAATTCCTTAAATAATTTTAAGCTTTTAGACTTTCGTTATAAATTTTACTTAAAATTAGGGCCATGTATGCAATTTTTCGGTAGACACACCCCAAACTGAGATATTATAAAATACTACTAATTCTCAAGCTAAACTACGGTGTTTGTTTGTTGTATTTGCACCTATCCGAGTTCTTCTGTCATATCACCCACTAGAGTCAATTGCAAAAACATTGTGATTATTTTATTTAAGGTTAGTAACTTTATTATACATTAGTTAAATAACCTTCGTACATATATTTTTTTGCCAAGACTTTCGTAGATTGAATTTTTATATTATTGACAATTTAAAAATATTACAATTTATGCATTTTTTATACGTTTATTATACTTTATATATCTCCATTAGAATTTAATTTTTAATAATATTCTATCATATTTATGTTCTAATAATTGATAAACTGATTGGCTTACATATAATCAACTTTTCACCCCAAAAAATACAGAAATAAGGATAGGAAGGTCCTCAATGAAGAACTTTGACCCGATTATATAATGCCACTTTTTTTTTTTTGTTGCTAAAATTTTCCGCTATCGTCTACTTTTTTTGTTTGAGCAACCATAATTTTAGGAATTTTTGCCCCTTTAAGAGAGAGAGAGAGACAAGCGTCCACCTCTGATCACATTAAACATCTGGATGGCCAAGTTTGAAAGAAATATAGCTTGTTAAAGGTGGTATTTATATAATCCTTTGTTGGCTAGCTGCATAGTAGATTTTGGGAGTGTTTGGATAGAAACCAAACAATGGTTTCAGAAGTACTTTTATAGTTTACGAAGTAAATATGTGAAGAAATTTACCTCGTTTTGTAGAAAAGTACTTCTGAAACCATGGTTTGGAGGTTGCCAAACACCCTCTTTATTTGAGGTCATAATTAAAACCTTGTAAACATTTCCCCCAAGTCCAAACAAAACTTTTTTAATCACAATTAAAAGTTGTTAATAAACCATTCCAAACATACCCATAAAATACTGAGATAGGATGTTGCAAATTAATCATATGCATGATTAAGAATGACACGAGTAATAATTAACATATTTTCTCTTTGGTTTGAAGAAAACAGAGGCATTAATTAAAACTTCATAGATCATTATTTTATCTATCTTCTAAGGGCATCACTCTCTAGATATAGCCTTCCCAGTTATCATAACATAATCAACTATACAATACACCCCCAAAAAAAAAAGAGTAGTGGAAACAAGCTCTCGTATAGTTTGAAACATAAAGGGCACAGTGAAGATGGGGGCAGCTAAATAACCATATCCATTCCTTTGGGTTGATGCAAGCATCTAAAAGCTTCCATTCCTCGCTTCCTTCCTCAGGTTTCTGCACACAAAATGACATGGCACCACCATTTGAGTAAGAGCCTCCAAATATCAAACTAATATTTAATGATCCCACAAAGAATTCCAAAAACTTACATGATCATATTCCCACCAAGCAGTTAGTGGAAGAGAAACAAGAATACTCTCTATCCTCCCTCCAGTTTTTAGTCCAAATGTTGTGCCCCGATCATAAACCTGGCATTGAAAATTGAGAACAAGATGGTTTATGTCTAGTTGAAAACTAAAGAACAGAATGATACTTTATCATCCCCGAGCTGGGTTTGATACCAAATTGAATTCAACATATCGTCCCCTCCGCAATTGTTGCCATGCTTTGTGCTGGTCTGTAAAAGCCGCATCCTTCCTTTTCTCTACTATGGGTACGTAAGCATGAATGACAGAATTGGCACATTCTGCACCATGGTCTCAAAGTCAGATGTCTGACTAATGAGAAGCATCAATTTATAAATGCAATAACGCTAGAAATCAAATTACCATGTGCAAAGGAGAGTAGCATCTCCTGATCATAGTCATTCAGATCATCAAAAATATTCCTCCAAGCCCTCTCCTCTCATTCCGATGCTGAATGCAGCATAAACACCAGAAAGGGTAAACAGTCCCAAGAAGTATTAGCCACATTAATAATTGAAAAATCAAACTATTTATAGAGAATCCATCACAACCTTCTGAAAGAGCAAACAGCATCCATCTCAATAATCTCAATTATCTAATTTTGAGAAACTTGATGACAAAACAAAGAACTACGTTAAGTTTTTACCATAATTAAAAACCTTGAAACCGACATTAAAAATAGTAACAAAGACCTATTTTATAACTCCGATCAACATTGATGTAAAAGTTTTTTCTAGCAAGTAATTAACATAGTGCTCTTTATTATTCTTAGTGTAGTAATATTTCTGAAGCATGCTTATAAGCCAAATTCAGCTCTGGATTGAGAAAAGGAAAAACAAAAGAGAACAAAGGACGTGAATTTCTTATTGCTGATAGCATTCAGCAAATGATAAAACCAAATTTCACTGTGAGCCAAATTTCACTGAAAACTAATAATTTCATTAACCGGCCAACCATCACTTCTAATCATTTTCTTCATGCAGCTACCACCAAGACAACCACCACCATTCATCTACATGACCCTGACCAACCTAACCAGGTACCACAAACAGCCATTTTACCACTATCACCAACTCTATCAGAATTTGTCTTTCATCATCATTTGTCTCCCCAACAATCAACCACCATGAGAGTTGGCCATCAACCTAGACATGAGCATCACTGCTCCACAACCGCTTATGTAGTTCTACAATCCCTCCTTCATCTTAACACACCCTGTTCCACCATTGCCAGTGCAGTTAAGTATGAATATTATCCTGCTAATACCAATCCCCCCTTGTCCCCTAACTTCCATAATTCATTATCAACCCCATTGACTTCATCAAGCAGTAACTACATCACCAGACTGTTTCTAGAAGAAATATGAAGTTTTCCAAACTCTGAGATAGTATACAGACTCAGACTAGATTAACCATGCCGTATGTAAAATCATTTACTTTTGATTAGCGCTATTCAAGGTATTGATGTAAACTACTGATTTCAGTAACATACATGACACTACTAAAAAAATCTACACAAATATTTATAAAATTGTTTGCATGTACAATTATAGATGTTGATTTAGTTAAAAATGAGTCCCTAATATGATAATATAAAAATAAAAAAAGAGCATAATATTTCTGTACCAATTAACATAAAGTTATCTCATGTCTCAATAATCAGCATAAAATAAAACTGATGCTTCCAATTTTTATCAAATCCAATTTCACCATGAATTGCAGCAAGGCCTATAATGTTTTAAAACAATTTAGGACAGACATAAAGGAAAACAATTGGTACAATAAAGTACATAAGTGCAGAGAAGTGGGACCAAGGTTTAATTAATCTAATTTCCATTTCAATTCATCAATCTAAAATTCCAAACTCATCTTATCAAAATGATTAGAAAAGAAAATAATGTTCTAACTATTATGTGATAAAACAAAAAGAGCTATAGATTACAGGAAGGAAAACAAATGAACCTGATTCAGTGACTGCAGCAGTATGTGTTCCACTGGTAGCAATATGCCGTATAATTCCCTCCCAGGAGCATTTTACCAATCTAGGGAATAGTTCTCTATGATACACTGAATGTCCAAGTGCACCAAACCCAGCGTAGCCCCTGCAAACTTGTGTCAAATCAATATAAAGAACGATTCACAGTATTTGGGACAGTAAGAGGCTGAACAAACAGGAAACATAAACTTTACAAGCATTTAAACAATATTTTGACCCTTCAAAATGTGATAGCATTTTACATGTAGCATCTGCCTTGCTTCCAAAGAGAACATGATGCAATAAAGCAGCATTCTACTTTTTTTCTTATCACATCGAAATCTTAAATAATTTTTCATAATCATTCCAAGTTTCCAAAACTCATTAGTTTTGCCAAAAAGAATATTTTAAAAAAGAAAAGAACAAACAATCAATTGTCTGATACAACAAGAACTTTTCATTCGTCCAAGACTTTCACCTGATATGTATATCTAAAGTACTTTCCAGGCACAGCATTTGTTGAAAAGCATATACACATATCAGATTGCATTACACAAGCCATGTCCAAGACAAGAACATTTTTTGTTTTAAGCGTACATGATATATGGTAGTTATATCAGCGAGAGCATTGGGCTGTTAGGATAAATAGGGAAGCAAACTTACAAAATGGGTGTGAACGAAATACTAGTTTGTGATATTCTGATTTTCATGGCTTTTGCCACATATCAATACCAATTAAATTCTTCTGCCAAGACAAATCACAGATACAGCCATTTCTTTAGTAATTTAAATCCTATATAAACACTAAAATTTGAACTCTACTAGGTTTGATCAGAATTATAAAGCACCAAAACTCACTATGTTCTAAGTGCCTAACTATAAATTTCTCATGTCACCAGAGATTCTTAAAAAGTCAAAATCATAAGCTACAAGCAGAGTGCTAAGATATATGATTAAGTAATCTAAAATTTTGATCCCTAAATTGATAGACTCATTTAGCTTTAATATGTAAAGGTTGGTGAGACTGTGGGAGCATCATGCAGTCGATAAAAATAAGAAAAATAGTTCTTTTATGAAGCAATTCAGGTATGCCAAAACGACCAATTCGTGCCAAATTGTCTAGTATGGAAAACTAATTAGACGTTCATATATTTGGGAGGACTATAGCTAAAGTTGACCTGATAACTAAAAGACCAAAGTGTTATTTCAGTCCAAATGATTCCAATCAGTATATAGCAACAATCTCTCTCAAGAATGTGTAAACAAGCAAATGCTGAAGTAATTCAGTGACTCTGACCATGTAAAGACGTCACCGGACGAGGTGAGCGCAACCGAATATAGTCCACCGAGAGCAATGCATCGAAGAGAATCAATGTGAGGGTTTAATGTAGGGACGAAAATCGAATTCTCATGCCCCAAACCCAACCGTCCACCATCACCTTTGCCCCAAATCCAGAGAGTCCCATCGACAATCAAAGACGAATGAAAAAGCCAACAAGATATACCAACTTCAATTGTCTTTTCCCCATCATGGCCAACGTTTATTCCGTCAAGGCCTTTTCTAGAAATTCTGCCTAGGGTTTGGGAGAGAATGAATGAGGTTTTGGGCACAATGAGGTTTGCTACAGGGGAAGGATACAATCTGATTTCTTCGGAGCCACCTCCGAGTTGACCAGAAGCACCTCTGCCCCATGAGAACCTGAAGAGTTATTGTAGCGTCAGTTTGGGTATTTGTGCCTGTGTTACAGTCAAAGAGAAGAGGAACTTTTCTGGCGGCAGAGGACGATGAAAAGCGGCGAGTGAGAGTAGCGAAGCGACGGCGCGGGATTATCATCCTTGTGGGCTGTGGCTCAAGGTCCAGCGCCTCCCTCTCCTACAATCTCCATGGCACCCCAAATGCAGAAGGGGATTCGCTTCGCTTCGCGAAGAAAAATTTAAATATTTGAATATTAAAAAAATAAATACTCTTTAAAAATTAAAATCGGGTAATCACATCAACCAAAATAGATTTTTATGATGACTGAAAAAAAAAAGCTAATATATAAACATATTTTCTTTGTCTTTAACAGTTTTTACTCGGATAGAGATTACATTTAGTTTTTTTAGCAGCAAATTTAGTTTGATATTCATTCTAACTTTCTCTAGAGTTCTAAATTAGAGCTTAATCGAAGGTTGGCATGCAAGTTCGACGGGCTGGGTTAATTCATCAGGATGTTTTTTTTTCAAAAGTAATAGAATAATTTTGTTTATATGGCGAAAAGATCACTTTGTAATCTCCGAGTAATAAAATATCCAATGGCTCTGGCAGGGGGGGGATCCAATATTCATTTTGGCTCCTCTCGACATAATCCGGTTCAAGCGTTCAATTATATTGCCTACATTACATGCTGGTGGGCATATTCACTATAAACACGCAGCTCAACAAATGGAAAAACTTGAACAAGTTCCTCTGCTAAATGCTAGTATACAAAGCTGATAATTGACAATGTCTCATATGCAAACTAGAATGAAGAATCAGTTGCGAGAGTAGCAAAGGCTAAGGATGCCCACCAACCCCTTTCTTTCGTGCTTCCAGGGTTCACCTGGACAGGATGGATAGACGAATTCCTCAGGTTTCTGTTCGTTCTCGTAAGAGCTTCCATGTCCCGTCTCAATGGCATCATTTTTTGACTTTAATTGTAAGTCCAATTTTTCAATGAAGCTGCGATATTCAGATGCATTAGTTGGGCACACCCCACACTCTTTGATATCCAAGCATCCCTCTTGCTTATTATGAGCATCCCCACCAACAAAATGAACTCGGAAATTAAACGAAACCTTCGGTTTACGAGTGTTGCTCTGATCATCTGCCACACTTTCTTTGAGGGTCTCATGTATTTCAGAACAGAAGTTTTCATCATAGCAAAGAAAAACATGATCCAATGTGAAGTTGATATACCTAGCAGAGAGTAAATAGTACCCTTGTGTCCCTTCCCATTCACCATAACTAATTTCCAAGTAGGCTTCGCATTCAACTCGAATCCATTCAATTGATGGGGACTCAGGAACAATGACGCAAAAGATGAAACCCCAATTCTCAGAACAATGCAGAGCAGAAGAGAGATCAATAGTAATGGGAGCTTGTGTTGTCCTATGCAGGAACCACTCTGGAACTCTGCTTCCGCGGTATACAACTTCAACCTTACCGTTCGAGAAACTGCATTTTTCTAAGGCTCGAACAGATTTGATTGTCTCAGCCATAGCATTCGATCCAATTAGTTTGAATGAATGTTCATTCAACTTAGCACAGTTTTGGAAGTCAAAACTTA